ACCCTATTCTCCATACAATGATCCAATCCCTTTCTGTGAAACAACACACAGAGAAGGGGAAACCACCCACTTTAAAAGGGAAATAGATCTACCCCCAATAACACAGTTCTTTTCCTCTGCAGAGTTCCATCAATTGATGATGGGTTGATCTTGATGCCTCTATAACAACAGCCTCCTCACGTGGACAGCATCTGCACCGATCAGAACTCCCTAACATACATAATAATGATTTGTTTTACAAACAACAGCCTGTATAATAATTAATTGTAATATTATTATAATTAATTATTAATTATGCTCACACAAACTGCGCGCTGCTTACTACTACCCACCAAAACCGTTAATAAAATTAACACGTCATGTCTAGAACTGTTTTTTTGTTTTTATGTCTGGATCAGAAACTGGATATTACAATTTAATTATCTTTTCTCATGGATGTATCGTTCAATAAAACTTCCTGTCACTCTGTGCAATCAGTACGCTTTGCGCATGCGTGCGAGTCTGCGCTTTTTGCGCTTGTTTTTGTTTTTTCTTTATTTTTTGTTGTTGTTGGGGTTTTTTTCTCGTAGTGGCATAATGTTGTTTTGGCTTTCTTTGTTATACTTCTTTAAAATTGTATAAATCTCTACAAAGTATGGATACAATAACTATAGTGTCTTGAATTGGTACTACAAATACTTTCTACTGACTTACTTCTTAGTACTTAAACAGTTAAAGGTTCTTGAAAACCCTTTTGTTCCTTTCGGCACTTTTCACGTTGTTTTCCCTTGTCTTTGTATCCAGCAGTCAATCTGTATTGAGCAAATTATGTCTTCTTTTCTTTTTAGTTCAGTTTTAATTTTGTCGGACTGTTTTCTTGATTACTTTCTTTGTCTGTCCTTTTGTCTACGCAGTGGATTGTTTTTGTTTTTATTATGAGCACACCAGTCACAATTTCTATGTCTTGCAGCACTTTCTCCGTGACTCTCAGCGTCACAGCTTTGTTGTGTTGTTTGCCACGTCAACTTTTTCTTGTTTGCTACGTCACCACATCTTTGTTGTGTGCCACGTCACATCTTTGTTGTGTGCCACGCCACATCTTTGTTGTGTGTCACGTCACACGCGTCTGGTATGCCACGTCACTTTTTGTTTTTCTTGTGTGCCACGTCATTCTTTCTTTTCTTTTACGGGTTACGGCTGTGTCGTACCTCAGAGTGTCTCAGGATTGACAGCTGGACAGTGGTCAGTTTCTGCTACCATTGTCTCCTTCTCACTCCTCACAAGAGCTTCCCAGTACATCCTCTACATATTTGAATATAATATTGAAATACCGTACCACCCACACCCCACACCTACACCCGTCCCCCAATAATACTGCTGCAGTCAGTTCTTGGTTTGTTTGATTTTTAACGCCATTGCACATCATAAAATGTCACCTCCTTCTTTCTTCACCCTTCCTTCTTCCTAAATCCATTCATCTTCATTCGTTCAAAGTCCTGTAACGTCCCCTTAAGTCATTACAATCTGAATGCCATCAGCAATACTGTCTTCCATTCAGCCCATATCAGGGCTCTTCCATCCATGTTTTTCCTCGTTATCCCTACGTCATAGTAACGGCCCTTGTTCAGCCTGTTCTGATGGGGGTTGTCTCTCCAGTAAGCTAAACGTCTTGTGCGTTTGTTAATACATATTTGGGCGAAGAGAAAATATCATTATTCTCAGATGTCTTGATTTCTTTAGTCACTGCTTGCATTATGCCACAAGCAGTTATTCAAGGCAATCATCTATTGAAAAAGGTTTGAAACCTTCAAATTCAATGAAGTAAGTCTGTTGCATTACTTACCTCACCCTCTTTCCCTCTCCGTCTTGTTACCCAGCAACGTCTATTCTACTCTTTTCTCTGCTATAAACCTCTTTCCAATTCCATCACATTCATTGGAACTTTGGTTTCTGAACGTTCACCAACCAACGCCCACAGCACATTAACTTAGGTCTCAATCTCAAACTCGGTTTCAACAACAATCCTAATTATCGCTTGTGTTTCGCTGATTGACTCATGCTGTGGTCTGGTACCTCTCAAGCTATGACGTCAACAGACTATAAATAAACACCATAATCATGTCATTGACCTTGACCTTGGCATATTGCTTCTATGAGAATGGTCATCATCACCTAGGCCTACTACTACTACTACAACAACTACTACTACAACTACTACTGCTGTTTCTCACGATTTAACTTAACATAACTTCCAAAGGCATTTTCTAGCGAATGTAGTATCGTAATAGTAACCCTTTCTGTAACTGATCACTCATCTCCAGTAAGTGTAGTGTGTTTAATAATTAATTTAATTATCTTCATCTCCAGTAAGTGTAGTGTGTTTAATAATTAATTTAATTATAATCTATTAACTTAAACAGTTTAGCGCTCCCCACAGAGCAGTGAATAATTCGACTACTATTCATTTAATGGGGGTTTTTTCCTACCACAACCCGAGAAAAAACGACTGTCCAGTTATAATATAACCATAATCTGTTTGTGAGCCTAAGCATTGTATAAATGATACCTACCAAAAAAATAACAAGCTGACGCATCGATGTCCGTTCTTTTATTGTTCCTTGTCTGTTCGTCTGTACGTTCGTTCGTTTCTTCGTTCGTTTGTTTATTTAATTTTGTTTGTTTGTTTGTTTGTTTGTTTGTTTTTTCATTTAATTCTTTACTAAAGATGTTGTCACTCCATAATTTTAATGTGGAATTAAATTTTTTTCTCACGACTGAATCTTCCAAGCGTCCGTGTTTGTGTGTGACGTAATCAGGGGCCAGCATGGATTTACAGAGACCATTAGACGTAACAGCATTAACA